AAGGAGGGCACCAGTCAGATAAGACACATTCTCTCTGCTGCAAGAGGACAAGCTTCCAGCTTACACTGTGAAGCTGCTTATTCTCTGTGGAACCAAGCAGATCCAGACCATGGTCTTGCACCCGAGACTGGCATCTAGTGGCAAATACAAGTGTCCTCTCCTCTTTGGAAGAGCTGAACCACTACCGCCTAAAGTGTAAGTGCAGTATGTGCTCAGCACTTCTTCAGAGTGGCAGCTGCTGGGACAGAATGCCTGGCGAAAAATACATTTTATCCCTTTCTTCCCACAAATATTTCATCCTTGACTATACACAGGTGCTGTTAAACGAATAAAGTAAACAGACTGAAAAACAGAGATAAGCAATATTCATTTATTATTTTCAGTGAAAAAAAAAAGGTGGATGTTCTTAAACAAAGGAAGTGATGTTTAATATTGTACTGTCACTGTAACAACATTTACTGCAAAACCTAATTTTAAAAGATTTTTTTTTTTTTGGACAGCAGAGCAACGTTCTATTTTTGTTATTGAATGAAAGGACTGGTAGCTGGTTATTTTATTAGAAGATCTTTAATGCTTCATTACTGAAGTAATCTGATTTACTCCACATACGGGAAAATATATATTCTTCTGGAAATTCGTAGTAAATTTCAGGGAAAAGTCACTTCCAACAAAACTGATTTAGCAATACCCACAGGTGATGGCATGAACTCTATCAAAGGCAAGGAAATTGCCTTTCAAACTCTTGGCAAGACTTTCATTCAGGATACACTGAAAGCTTTAGAGCACTGAGTATACTGAGCTGACTGCTAAAGAAAACACTCAGTAATTAACAGCTGGATCTCAAAAATTAAGAGTTCACAGATCTTGAAGTCAAAACATGAAGTTCAGCCTGTCTGGAGATTTCTCTCATGGTTTGTCACATGTAACTAAGTCACTGAAAGATCATGAAATTAATGCAAAACCATAGTGAAATAACTTTATATTTAAAAAATCTTGTATTTAAACGTATTTCTAAGTAAACACCACAGAAAGTTAATTTAAGGACTTTTAACCAAGAAAAGTCTAAGTTTTGATAACAAAGTTTGGGGGCGTTTAGGGGAGGTGGCGGTTTTTTTGTATTTAACTTCAGTGGTTGCAGCTTGAAGATTACATGTATAGAATTTACAAGTTGAACTAACAAAAAGGGTGATAATAATTTCTATATCTTTTTCCCTCACATGCCATTAGATTATCTTTTATGACTATTGGCTATCCAGGTCAAGCTTTATATCTTTCAAAGGGAAAATAATTTTGACTATTTCTAAAAAGATGATCTATCCCACAGAGTAAAATCCACTTTCCATAAAGACAGGCATTTATTTCACCTACATACATGCAGCAATTTTAATATTATATAAATAGTAATTTATCTATCTATACAGCTATCTAATTTTGTTACAAGCAGGTTTATGAGTTTTGGAAGGAAAGGACATCTGTATGAAAGCATTGTGGACGGTTTGTGGTCATGAAAGTATGCTCCACAAATACGACATTTCTGAAACATCTGAGAAAACCTCTACCACATCACAGCACAGAAACTTCTCCTACCCTCAAGCTCTTCATGTTACAAAATGAATAAGCTTTTCTAGGCAAGCCTTGTGAAGGTCTCAGCAAGCTGTGCTCCTTCCTGTGCACTCTCAGAAACAAAAACAATGTCTGGAAAAAGTAGTCCTGATATATATTTTTAACTACCAATTTTTAAGTTCAGGCCAATTGAAACCTTTCTATAAATGAAAAATAAATTTCTTAAAAACATCAACATTTTGTCACACTATACAATACAAGAATTTTTAAACGTAGCACTTACTGAAAAATAAGAAGTGCACTGATTTTCTTTCTCGTTGTTGTTCTCAGAGATAGAAAGAGCTCAAAGCATTAAGACAATTAGCCAAAATGATAGATTTGAACACATGCTGAATTTTACTGTTAACATGTATGCGTAACTTCCATTAATGTCAGTGTGAGTTATGTGTGCACTGCTAAAAACATATGGCCATAACAAAAATATTTCCTCCAGATCTAACATAGTAATATTTTTTAATAGACATTTTGGGGGGAAAAACAAAAAACAAAAACCAAACACATATTTAGAAAGCAATATGCAAATGCACATCCCTCCCCAAATTTAAAACTCTGGAATTCTTTAAAATTGATCTTGTTTCTTCACACGTTGGCATCAAGTTAAGAATAACTTGATGTTTATCTCCTTCCATCAAACTACCTTTCATTTAATGGGTACTTCTCTAGTTTCCAGTTCAAAAAGACCAACCAGATAATGAAGAAGATTACGCTTCTACCCATTTTTACTCTAAACTTCCTTAAATAACTGCATGTATACAGGAACATGTAATGACAACTGAAGAAGTTATCTAAAAGTGACAACTGATTGTAGCCGGTATATTAAGATGGATCTTGGCAATGTCAGCCAGATGGGCCTAGAATGCAGAGTTATGTTTGGAACTTGAACATAATATAAGCATAGGAAATCATCATGAACGTTCTTAAACACACAGTTCATGCCTATTTAACTGAGAGCTAGCAGCCAAAAACTGTGATCACTCAACATGAAATTTTAAAAATAATAGAAGTTATACTCAATGCTGCCAATTAATAAATTATCTTAAAATAACCAAGACACATTCTTTTAGTATATTACTACACACAGAATTATCATTATTCTGTCCATGGACATTCGGGTTTTGTTCTACTATCTGGTTTTGAGAATGTTTTATTCG